CACTGTTTCCTTCGGGGCTTAGCACGATGTCTGTCAGTTTCTCCACTCATCATGGAGCTGGCAATTTCTGTTATCAGGCCTGCAATAAGCTGGGCACAGCCTGTTTCTTCCCCTCTGCGCTGACCGCAATCTGACTGTCTGGCAGTCTCTCGCCTGTTAATTCAGCTCTGGCAGGGAGCAGAGCAGCGTTCCTGTGATGGCCAAGGTGCTAAGCCTTGGAAAGCAAGTGCATCATGTCAACCGTTGCCGTATCTGACCTGTATCTGGTTTTAATATAAGAAAGAAGGTGACTGCTGTGCTCAGAAATGTGGGAAGTGCTTGCAGCAGTGAGTGAAACCATGCCAAAACAATAGCTGGGAGTGGCTTTCTTCCAGCAGCTCCTGGTGGTCACAGCATGGATCTGCTGGGCTTGCACACAGCTCCTGAGCCACCATACTGCAGCTTGGAGCCTCTACATGAGGAGGCGTCGCTGCTGTCCCCATAGCAGTGTGCCAGGCACCAGGGCAGCCTTGCCATGAACAGCTTAAGGGCAGATTTGAGACTCTTAGGCACCTGAAGATGCAGAAAGCCACCCATGAAAATCCCACTTAATGCTCCATGTCCACTGGCTTTAAGGTCAGCAGCAGCCATGACACCTCTTATTTTCCCCACACTTGATTCTGTGAGAGGACAGTGTAAAGATCCATCCTTTCTCTCCCATGTCTGTCTTTCAAACAGCGACTGCCCATAGGGGTGGCCAGAACACTTGCAACGTGATGATTTGGGCGTCTTTTCATTTTCTGATGGAGTTGCAGTGTGCCCTAGCCCAGCTTTTTTCTCACAGATCACTTTGACTTGAAAAGTTATGTTTCTGGCAAGATGTAATTGCACCCTAAACTTTAGAAGACTTTTCATTTTGTTTGTGTGTGCACTATGACTGCAGGAAAGTTTCCAGGTTGCTTGGAAGTCATCAGCAGCCAGTACGGTTATTGAAAGGCAATGGCCCCCTGGACCTGCTGCTCTGATCTGAGCAGTTTTGAGTTTGTGCAGAGTTGCAGGCTTGGTTGGCCACTAAGTGTGGCTCTTGATTCATGAAGAAGGGGAGGAAATAGGGAAACTGACAGGCTCAACTCGAGGTACAGGTCAGAGGCTGTTGGTGGCTCCTCCAGTAAGTCTCGCTGAGGCAGGGAAGGTCTTCTTTAATACTGTTGATGATTCAAGAGATGGAACACCTTCCTTGCAAGGACAGACTGAGAGAGCTGGGGCTGTTCAGCCTGGACAAGAGAAGGCTCCAGGGAGACCTGAGAGCAGTATCTAAAGGGAGGCTGTAAGAAAGAGGGGCAGACTCTTCAGCAAGGTCTGTTGTGACAGGACAAGGGGAAATTGTTTCAAACTAAAAGAGGGGAGATTTAGATTGGACATAAGAAAAAGTTTTTTGTTTTTTTTTCTGAAAGGGTGGTGAGGCAGTGGCACAGGTTGCCTAGAGAGATGGTGGAAGCCCCCTCCCTGGAAACATTCAGAGCTCAGACTGGTGTGGCTCTGAGCACCCTATAGGTGTCCCCGTTCATTGCAGGGGAGTTGAACTACATGGCCTGTATGGGTCCCTTCCAACTCAAACAATTCTATGATTCTAGATCTCATCACCAGTAACAAGAAATTCTGTTGTTTGTAACTTCCAATGTCAGCATCAAACATGAGAGGAAAAGGTTTGTATGGGGCAGAGGGAAAATCAGGTCAGGGAAGGAGATGCCTGGGCCATTCTTACTTGTTCAGGAACTTCATAGGCTACATTAGTATATAATTTCAAAAGCAAATAGTGAAAGCAGATCTGCTGACAATTAAGATCAAGTGCCATTAATTATTTTCTGAAGCAAAAACATGAGATGAATAAACTAGGCTTGTTCCAAAGCACACCTAGTCCAGGAAAGTCTTTCCACCAGCCTCAGTGAACACTGGAATGCGTTCCCATGCAAGAAAGGATAAGCCAATCCCAGCTGCCAATCTTTATTTCTTCTCAGGAGGTGTTGAGGGCATTTTGCTGATAACAAGATCGTGTCTTGCATGTTTCACACCACACCTGTGAGCTGCACTGGGTGGCTGATGAGGTTTTGCAGCCATCCGCACACTCCCAATGTCACTGCCAACCTCGTGGGAGCTGCTGGGAGAGGCACACAGAATGAGAGTCCCACCCTCGGTGGTGTAGATCACAGGCAGCCCTGTTATTCCTCAGACTAAGAACTCTAACATTTCCTGCCAACAGCTATTTTGAGAATATTAAGCCCGAATGTTTTGGTGGAAAGTGAATTCAAAAGGCCACAAGAGCAGGGGTGTGAGTGAATGAGCCCAAGCAACTCCACAACACTAAAATTTTGTAACATTTTCTTTTAAGCACAGAGAGTGCTTTGATATCCCACATGGGTACAAAGACTTTTGTCATGCAGACTGCTTGGAGTTAGTATGAAAGCATCTCCGTTGTGCTGGTGTTCACTTGCGGGAAGCAAAGCTTGTAGTAGAGCGTGAGATAAAAATATTTTTAAGACTCATCACTTTTTGACATCTCCACTCCAACACCTCCTCCCCAGTGCACTGTGTACAGACAGCTCCGTTGCGACTGCTACTTCTGATCTTCAGCCTAACCCAGCAAACACACTCCGAGCACATGTGCTGATGCAGACTACATGAGGAGGTGGAAGAGCGTACGATGACAGCCTGAAATCAATGGGGACGGCTCATCTGTTTAAGGTGTGCAAGATCTGGCCTCCAGTGAGCAGTCATTATCTCTCACACTGACGCACAAAGGAGTTGAATGTGTCTGCAAAATTACATTATTCTACAACAGTGAGGAAACTGACATCCTGTGGTCACAATTATGCAGGCATTGGGCCACGCTGGATATGGCCGTGTTTTTTCTTTTATTTTTAAAGAAGCAACTGGGCATTCAAATCATTCCATACATTACAAAGTTTGATTTTCAGCAGAAGTGCTTGTGCTGGATTAGGATCAGAATGTCTAATTACAAAAGGGCGTTTCTTTCAAAGAAGAAGAAGAATCACCTTTGACATTTTTCTTAGTTTTCTACCTTCTGCCTCGAGATCTCGAGGCAAGGCAAACTTTGAACAAATTACTACTAAGTAGGAACATCTAATATTTATCCATTGTAAATGCTTTTCCTAGAAGAGTTATTTGGAGCACATTTGCAATGTATTGCAAAAGAATTCACACTTTGAGAAGGAAATTCAGTCTTTCTAGGCTTACACAGGATAGATTCTGTCCTGGTAAGTATTTCCCCCGCAGCTGGAGCTAACCACAGTGTGGTCCAGGTGCTGTAAGCACGTGGACTGTCTCACCATCTGGAGACTGGGTAGATGACATGGTTCAAACGGAATGTTTGTCCATGTTATGTAGAAATGCACCGTGTGGGACTGTTACAGAGAATGTAAAGAGCAGAACTGAGGCACGCAGGGTCTGCTACTAACAAACAGAGTATACACAGTGTGTACTTAGGATGCCACAGATTTCCCTAGCTCTGCACATGTTTGTGCACATCCTACTGATCACACCTACCTCTTCAGTAGATAGCAGGGCTTGTTTAGGTACATCAGGGACTGATGCTTAGGTGGGCATGTCATGGTTTGGTTCCATGCTTGGCAGAGGGTGGAGGTAAGGAAAGGAACTCTTCTAATTTCATATTAAAATCTTCTAGCTTCAGCAAAAGACTATTTTTTAAAAATTGACAGCATCATGGTTTCTGCTGAGTGTGGAGATCTTTCAGTCAAGTAGCTGGAAAAAATAAGAGGAAGGTTCATGAGAACACCCAGGACCTGAAGCTGCTCTATGTAGTTTCTATTTGCTATGGAGCAGAGTGGAATGAGGGAAAAGTGTATGTGATAATTTGAATTTGAGACTTTTGATTTGATTGAGTTCAGCTGTCCTTCGGTTTTTGACTTTTGCATTCATTCAAGCTCTACAAGCACAAGGGCTCACCTAGTAAATTTTAATCAGAGATGCTTATGTACTGACAAAGAGTGAATTACGAATAGTTCATTTTCTTGTAAAACTTACCCTGCGTTGCTTTCTTACCTATCTCCCCTTACCAGGGAAAAAAAAAAGGAAGTAGATGGATAAGGCACATATTGCACGTTATAATTTATAATGGACTGCTCTGCAGATAGGAAGTTATTTACTGGCATTACTATTGAATATAAATAATGAACAAATTTCTTCAATCTGTTTATAGAGAATTCTCAGACAAAGGTGAAATTAATGAAAAAAAAAATTGATTGCAAATGACCTGCTTGGCTCTAGTTCTTATTTCTGTGGCTTTGAGAGACCTTAGATAACTTTCAATTCCAGAATGGGAGGCTATGAACTTCCCCACATGACTTACATAATCAGAAGAACTTTAATTAAAAATGTTATTGAATATCCAGGCCCTTCATCATCTCCAGAGGAGTGACCTTAAAGCTGAAGGGAGCTGAAGCTGACTAGAAATACAGACCGTTCTCCTTTGTCCTTTCCTGCTGCTGTATTTTCTGTGAAACAACAGAATGACAAAGCAAGGAGCTTAGTCCACACAGGGCCCAAAATTTGGGATGTTAAATAGGCAAAGTTTATATGTGTCTCTCGAACCTTGGCACAAAACAGGTGGGCTGAATGCAACACTGAAACCACAGAATCATAGAATTATTAAGGTTGGAAAAAACCTCTAAGACCTGTAGTCCAACTGTCCACCTACCCCAATATTGCCCACTAAACCATGTCCTTAAGTATTACATCTACTCTTTCCTCTAACACCTCCAAGGAGGGTGACTCCACCACCTCCCTGGGCAGCCTATTCCAATGCCTCACCACTCTTTCTGAAAAGAAGTTCTTCCTAATGTCCAGCATACGTGTTATGTCTAACAATGTATCTGTCATTGCCAGGCAGGCTAAATAAGACTTAGATCAATGATGACCAACCAGGGTGCAGGGAGGAGGTTGCAATCTCATGTAAATGTTGATGTGCTTGTTTGTGTTAACAGGCTGCCGCTGGCATAACCTCTTTTGGGAAAAGTCTTTCGTTTAAAGGACATCCCTGCAAATCAAGAAATGAGAGTTTTGTTGTCAGCTGTGCCAGACACCAAAGAAAAAGTCATTTTGTCCAGACACTTGAAGACTTACTTGAAGGTAATAACTAACTGTCCTGCAAATTGTGGCTTAGAAGAAACATGAAAACAAAATCTGAGATAGTTAATGTGATTATTTTGTAGAGACTGTGATTTCTCTTGCCATGTTTTGCCAATTCCTTAGTTTTAGCTTTCCACCTTTGTGCCATCTGAGTTTACAAGATCATGTTTTCCAGAGCAGTCTGAATGTGGACAGCTGGTGCAGTCTTGATCCATGGTGATATCATGTAGGCAACCTGTTCTCTTGATTCAGTCTAACCAGAAAAATGAAACTCTGAGGCATCTCCTTGTTCAACCTGTGAACACCTTTGGTAATCACCCTACTTCTACTGATTATCCTTTTTGAAAAGGATACTTGGGAAAGGTGGAACTTGGAAGTACTAGTGCAAGTATATATGGTGCAAGTTCTGGTGAGAAGAAGAAAGTAGCCCCATAACCTGCTCCTTGCTCTCTATGGCTGTCACAGCCTTTCCAATAAGACCAATGGATACTGCTGAGTGTGGCCCACTGTAACCCCTGCCAATACAGCTAGATGTTTGGTAGAATCCACAGGGAGGTGGATGAAGCATTTGTTCTCACTGAGTCATAATATGTAGTTGCCCAGGTCTAGCTCCTTGCCCTACTGAATGAAGCCAAGTGCTCTCCATCACCAACAAGTTTTGTTCCTGTCCAAAAAGGCCATTTATGAAGAGGAACTGCTTTTGATATTCAGAGCTACTAGGCATGGAAATTTGCTCATAAGTTACCAACCTAAGCAACACCAGAGGATTCAAAACACTTCTTTGTTATTGTTTCATGTTTCCTGAAACTGGAAAGTTGTAGTGCCATATGTTGCAGTATTTGTACTTGACATATTCTTGAGCATTTAAATATTGTCTTGTGGAGTGAGCTTATTGCCAACCACATGGATGAAGAGCTTTGCACTTACTTTTGGAGAGCACCCCATCATCAATTGCTTCTGCACACTTCTATTTGTACATCAGTCACATAAGCAGTGAGTCTCATCATAGAGGTCTGAGTTCAGAGCAGTCTGCAGAAAAGCTGCTGTCATCTCTACAGGAGTTTGGTTAATATAAGTGGTGAAGGCAAGGAGCCACTCCTCCAGCTTCAGAAAGCTTGCAGGAGCAGCTCCTCCAAAGGAGTCAGCTTTGTTAACACCGTGAGTGTTCTCAGTAAATGAAACTGTGGAATGGAGGCAGGTGATGGAAGGCGTGAAGCAGGGATATTTCTTTTTGCAACCAAATAGAAAGGTTTACTCTTCTGGAGGGCAGAGTATAAAGGTCCAGAGAACCAGGAGGGAGTGCAGAGGTGGAGCTGGAGTCAACCATGAGTTAACCATAGCCTCTTGGGTGCGTAGTATAGCTGGTTCAGTGCCACTAGTCATATAGCTGGTTTGTTGTTTGTTTTCTTCACTCTCACACCTCCGTAGTGTATTGCATACACGATACCACTAAAAAGATGACATGGCAATATCAGAGCTTTTTTCCCCCTCATAGCAAGAATATATAATAATCTCTCTGAGAAACAAGTCTCAGGCTATCTCAAGAACAATCAATGCTTGTAAGGCATCCATCCAGTGAAGTCAGAATAGCTGGAGGCTGTGAGTAACGTAATCATTTTTTGTGCTTGCATAGTGTTTTATTTTCAGACCGATATGAATACAAGACAGGAAGTAAGCAGATTTTCTTTTTGTTTTGTTTTTTGGTTGGCTACTTCTCAAGTTGCTGGATTTTTTGTTTTGAAAACCAGTCTTAATTACCGCACTGGTAAGAGCAGGATTGGCCCATGAGAACATGAGGTCTCCAGTGGATGCTTCTGCTCTTCAGAGCATTGTAGGGAAGAAGCAGCCTTTGTGGTCATCTAAACTTTCACAAGATGCCTCTGTTTGCAGGTGGAAGTGAAGCCTAGAGTCCGTGAATGAGATGGTGTTACTATACTGTGTGTTACTATAACACAATCAGGTTGGGATGAGGTCACTGGTATACCAGATTCTGTGGGATTTGGAATAGTTAGTCATTAAAAATATCCCTTTTTACCTCCTTCTCTCCCCCATTCCCCATGGCATTCTTACATGCTTCTTTACATGGATGCTCACCATCCAAATGTGAGGACAAAGACTTGGGATAGGAGAGCTGCGCCAGCTCCCAACCCTTCTGTCCGATTTGTACTTTTAAAAGGGACATTCACTACTGACTTTTAGTCCATTTTGAATATTGACTCTCTTTGCTGCTGAAATTCTTTCACTCAGGTTATAAATTCTTGCATATTCAAAGCAAAAGAATTTTGTAGCAAAAACTGGCACTCAGCACCCAGTCATTCTCGCCCAGCCTGAGCTGGTTTGCTGTCTTCCAGTCTCCCCTTTTTGTTGTTCTTCTGTCTCTCCCCCACAACCAGTTCATAAATCTTTGGAAAACAAACAAACAAAAAAACCAAAATGACAACAGAAAAAGAAAAACAAAGAATCAAAGTCACCATCCCTGAAGGTGTTGAAGAAATGTTTAGATATTGTACATGGTTTATGGTTTAGTGGGGAAATAGTGGTTGTAGGTGGAGAGTTGGATTGGATGATTCTGGAGGTCTTTTCCAACCTTGGTGATTCTGTGATTCTAAGATTCTATGGGAGAAGCAGAAAGCTAGGCTTCTCCTTCCGTTCCACCTGGAGTGCTTTAGCTGATCTTGGTTTCACTCTAACCCATGGTGTAACCCCACATTTTCCACCTACCTGAACGGAGCCTTATCTTGTTCCCAGCACCTCACACAAAGGTTATTCCATGCCCAGGCTTCTTCCCCAGGCTTTCCTTTGTATGTTTTTTGATCCTGTTCTAAGCTGGAAATCAGACAGACAATGATGTGCCTGCTCTGGATGACCTGTCCATAGACAAACTGGTCTTGTTCCCCTTCTCCTTTCCTTGTAGAGCAAGACAAAAGTCTTCCTTTTCAAACTTCTTTCCTTTGCCTTTGGGGTGCCCCAGCATGCTCTGTCCATATCTCAGGGAAAGGTGTGAGACTCTGGGCTTTGAAAAAGAAAGGGAGCAGGACCTGTGTCCTCCTTAGCATTGCGAGTAACTCCTGAGCCCAGATGTGAGCCTATTTCCCTTTTATTTTGCTCTGATTAAAGATGTGGAGGAGCAAGATGTTTTGGGCCAAACAAAATGTTTCTCCATCTCAAGACAGTTTATTTTTCTACTTGCTGAAGAAAAGAGGTAAAAAAGTGTTTTCAGGCAACTCAGACTGATTTTTTTTCTTCTTTTCGGTTCTGGCCACCTAACTGAAAATATCAATTATTTCCATGGTCACAGGCACTCTGCCAAACTCCTGCTCCAGTATAACTTTATGGATTTGTTATCACTGCAGATTCAGCCTTGGCTGTTTGGCTTCTGTAAACAATGTTTTGCTCTTCCTTATGGTTCCTCAGGCTTCCTCTGAAGGAGTGCTAATTGCACCACTCCCTGCACATCTGCACACCTGCTATCTGATGTTAAAAGCACTTGACTAAGCAATAACCCAGCAACAATTCCTTCTGTTGGAGCTACACCCATCTTCGCCTTTGTGCTTGTTCCTTCTAATGTTCATGGTGTAATTCAGCTATTGCCACTGTTTTCCAAACAGCTAAATCTCTTACGTTTCTTTCAGCTGACACAGGCTTTTCATGTTACTTAGCAACTCTGTGTTTAGCCTAATAAGTCATTAGGCTACTCCTACCATTAGAGCTGCCCTTTCAAAGAAAGGTCCAACTGGAGTGGTTTTTGTACTTCCCTGTGTGCAAAAAGAACGAAATAGCAGGGGTTGATCATGACAGATGTTGTAGTACATTCAGTTGTATCCACAGACTCTTTTCGGTTTTGCTGCTGGTAGGAAAACCATTACACACTTGCAAGGGAGCAGAACACAACAAAGACTTGGATGCCATCTTTAAATGCTTGAGCAAGAGAGGAAGCTTTCAAGATTCGAAGCATAGCCTCCCTTTTCTTGGGAGCTGAAGGTATGTATCTTCTCCAAAGTTTCTCCAAGGTGCTATGAAGGGAAGAGCCATCAGGGCAGGTCTCAGCTTTTGGAGGTACTCTATACTCCAGTGCTTGTGGATTTCATGCTTATAGATTAATTAATGTGCAATTCATTCCAACCACAGCAGGAATGGCCTGACGTATCTAGATATTGCCTCTTGTTTTGGACTGTTTGTGCCATTTTTGATTGGTAAAACATCAAGTTGCCATAGGTTTTGCACATGAACCATTCATTATTCATGAACTGCAATCCTCAACTGCAACCAAGGATCTAGAGCATGATGTCCCGATGAAAAAAATGTATATTCCCCAACCAGCAGATAATTTTTTGTGAAATTAATTGTGCTGTTTAGAAGTCAAGAAATTAATTGTGCTGTTTAGAAGTTTGACTGCAATGTCAGTAATATAGTTGGTGACACATCAACCATGCCACAGAATTCACTAAAAACACCATTTCTGCCACAGTAATTCACTATGAAATAATGCATGTTTTCCAGGATTTTTGTTCATGCTGTACTTTATTGCATAATGCAAGTTTCTTATTCATTAGATAATAGATACTTCAGATAATGAAAATTCATTCTGTGTAGCAGAAATACCAGGAAGAAGTGGCTTCTTGTAACTGTTCAAGGGCTCAAAAGTAGATACTTGTACGCTTTCATGTTTGATTCTTGTTCCACATCACTTCAGAAGCATAATTTTTGTTGACAGAAAATTGGCCAGGCTTAATAATGAAAGGTATTTGTGTATCAGCTTCTGGATTCTTTCTAATGTGTTGTCATTTTTGGAGCAAATGGACTTGCAGACTACATATGTTGGGACCAAATCTTCAAAGACTCCTAGCTGAGTAAAAAGATAATTTTGTTGTTGTTTGTTTGTTTGTTTTATAATAGAAAAGATTAATCTGACTGACTTTCCAGAGCACCACTGTATGTTATTTCAGGGACAGAAAGCACATAGTTAAACTCCTGGTTCATGTGATCCTTCTGGTTGTAAC